TTCCCCTCCTTTTCCAATGGGTTTCATCCTACTGTTATTTTTTTTCTCTTTTTACCATTTTTAAAGGCTTCTGCACTGGTCTAACAGGCGAAATTGGACAAAAATTATTATAAGTTATTAATTTGTATATCTAATAACTAATAATAAAAGGGAAACTTTCTAAAATACATTAACATTAAACACGTTAAACCATTATCATAATGCACATCAATATTGTATAAGTTTTTCAAGATCTAACAACTTCTACGCGTTACAAGAATTAATTGACGGTGATTCTGATAGAAGATTGCGATTTTGCAAACAAATGCTGGATATGTTGAACAGGAATGTTATTTCTTCTGTAGATATTTTTTTGTGATGAATCAAAATTTCTTCTAAATGGCGAAGTAAACAGGCAGAACCGCTGAAACTGGGCAAAAGGAAACCCCCACTGGATTAAAGACATTAAAAATCTTAACGGGTTAAGATATCTGGAAATGCAAAGAGAACAAGTTGTTAGCAGAGTTGTTTCCAAATCCATTGGATGACACCTTTTCACAAAGGTGGATCGAAAAATAGATTTCATAGAATGGCCAGCAAGATCACAAGATCTAACACCTCTACACTTTTTCCTATGGGAATTAAAAAAGCAGGGTGTTTAAAACAACCTGCTAATTTAGATGAATTAAGAAACAGAATAACTGCAGAAATTGGTAACATAATAGCTTGGAGCAATCCAACCTTACTTTTTCTTTTAATTGTAAGTACGTTTTATGTATTGTTTAAGAAATATAACCAGGCCTTGAAGATAAAATGTATGCCATTCGGTTGAGACGTGTCTTTTCCTGCTTAGCTTAATTCAAACTTTGAGCTTAGCACAAAAAGCCTTATGACATAAATAACTATTGAAATATATACGGATTGTATTATAACCATCACTACATTTGACCAACTATTAATATTCCGGTGGGTAATTGTTAAAAGTAATAAATCATACATTTCCGTAAAAAACACACACATGTAATTTGGAGAAAATGCAAAAGTCAATTTTTATGCAATTTTTTCCGTTTTAAATTTAAAACGGCATTAATGCTAGTGTTTTAAAGACTCCAAAAAAGCCTAAAAATTTAAAAAGATCAACCTGTATTCTAAAAACGAATTTGATTCTAAACCGGTTAAAAATCTCAAGATTAAATTTTTCCTTTTAAAGACAAAAAGTACAACCAAATAACATTTATACAAAAAAAGTTTCTTAATTAGTTGCAACTAATTAAGAAACTTTTTTTGTAGAAATGTTTGCTTGATTTAAAAGAAAAAATACATAAGTTTTTATTGCATTCCAAGAAACGCATCTTACAAAAGAGCATAAAGAAGAGTAGAAAATTAATTGAGTGACATTACTTATTTAGTAATGCAGATGTCGGGGAAAGAATGCAAGAACGTTAAGTAGGCGTTAAGCGTGTCTCGTCCACTTAAGTAGTTGTTATATCGAGTTATAGGATGAATACAATGGCTGCGAAGTGTCCTCGGCCAATGCGATGTGTTTACGACCATTCGGACAGCATCGCAATTAGCCATTATTGACCTTTCCAATTTAATACTCACTGTCCTCCCTATTGCCTTTTTAGGTTAAAAAAGTTTTTTTGTACAAAATTTTATTGTTTTGGTTAATTTGAAAAGATCACCCTTAAACGTATTTAAAAAATTATATTTTATTTAAAAATTATCTAATTTTGTTTAAAAAGCACATTTTTAATTTAGCAACAAGTTTACAAGATTGATAAAGTATTTATCACAAATATTTATACAATATTGTAGAATTGCATTTAATTGGCCACGTAATGAGTAATTAGATTTCCACTGCAATTTTAAACAGATTAGTTACAATTTAATTGTTAGATAGTAAAATGTTAATAATTATTATTAGTAAATTGATTAAAATTTAATTGTTCAGTTTTTACTAAAATTAGTAGATTGGATTGGATATTAGATTGGACTTAAAATATTGGAAAACGCAAGAGGGTATTTCCATTGTAACGGGTGCGACACTGACACTGCGTTTTTTCATGATAAAAAAGTGTTTGTTCATATATATAAAGATATATACAAAAATAGTATAAAAAAATAGATATTTAACTCAAACAAAATGTCAATAAAAACTTTATAACGTCATGAATCGCGTAACGGGCGCGACCTTAGAAAATCAGCAGATGCGACCAAGTTGGCTTCTAAAGCTGATACTGTAAAATTTTATATGAAAGCATATAGTAATAATTTTTTGTGTAAAACTTGAAGAGTAACCTTAAACAAGCACGTATTTTAAATTCACAAATATTGTATACTTTATTTTCTAAACTTTTCTCAAAATGTAACGGGTGCTACATTTGAACATTTTATCGAGTATTGAAACTCTTCCGTGTTTATTCTTAATGTTAGCTTTTCAGCATCACAAAGTACGAATATTTTAAGGTTATAAATTACGTCGCAATTAAACTATTTGACTTCAGATATAGTTGTTATTTTGTTAAATAACACATCTGATTTTTTGTCAAGGTGGGGTAAGGTTTCGTGGAAATACCCAAGATTAAAAACGATTCGATAAACTTAGAGGGCGCGCGACGATGTTATAACAGATGTATACATCAGCATTACAAAATTAAAATGTATATTTTTATAATAAAAATATACTTAATTATACGCAATAAGTCTTACTTAGTCAGTAAAAAAAATATTTATTTGTAATAAAAAAGTTAATAAATTATTTCAGCAAAACGGTGTTTTTTGACCACAGTGCGACGATGTGTCAAGAATTACGAATTATTCCAACATCTGTTTCTAGCACGGCCTAGAACACCCCACGGTGGAGTCTTTACCCGAAATTTTTAACGCTTAATCAGTTAAATGTAGTTTACTGCCGGCGATATTAATATTTATATATAAACTTTTGAAATATTTTCGTTGTATTGAAAAAATAAAATAATTTCCGAATTTGGTATTATTTCACAAGAAAGGCACTTTATTTGAACGAATGTATGATATTTGGCAACTGTCAACTAACTTAAAACTAACTTCAGCCCATGACTAAAACTCCACAGCCTATTAAAGGTAGTGACCAGATTCTGTCAAAAAATAGAGGGACATTTAGTATGAATTTACCTTAGGTAATAACAAAATTGACACAGTGATACAATGCAAATTGTAAATTTGACGTTACTTAATTATTGTTGATTGCGTCATTTTTGTAATTAAGGTTAATTTACACTATTTTTTGACAGAATTTGGTTACTTTAATCAAGGGGGAGTAGATCAATTATATTAATTTTAGTTTGGTCCAAAATAAAGAAAAAATGCAAAATAAAAAAATTGTTTTTCTAAAATTAAAATATTTTGTATAATAAATTTGAAAAAAGTTGACGGATGTCAAATGTTAAACAAATAAAGTTAGCTTTAAATTCTTCTTTGTGTTCGTCGTAGATAAAGTATAGTATGCAACCCGTTTTATAAACTTCTCTAGACCCTCGTTTTCATTAAGCACTCGCTCGCAAGCTTCGCTCGTGCCTAATAAAACTCGTAATTAAAATGGAGTCTATAAAACTTGATACATAATATGTATGTATACTATTTTACATAATATTATAATTTTTATTTTATTGCGTAAAGATTTTAACACAAAAAAGTAAATAAATGAAGCTAGAAAATTTTATTAAAATCGGTCAAAATTTAAATTTTTAAAATTGTCCAGTTTTGCTAAAAAGCTATTTTATTTCGTTAAAAATAGAGCTTTTAATTTTTTTTACTTAAATTAGGACTCGCTTCATTGTTAAAAAATATATTATATACGTATACGAATTTGAATGTTTGCATACAGTGTGATCAATTTGTTTGCGACTCACCCCTGTAAAATCTTTATTTATTTTGCGATTTTAACCGGATTTGTTTTTAAGTGTAGATCTTGTTAACTGTATTTTTGGAGAAAAAACGCCATATTAAATTTTTAAGATTTCATATTAGCAATTTTTTTAAACAAAATCTAAGCACGGCACTGGATTCATTACCCCTCAAAACGACCCTTTAATAAATTTTATTGAAAAATATTAAGTAGAAAAATGCGCAATTATTATTATTATTATTATTATTATTATTATAATAACATCAAAAATTTATTTTGTCAAGCTATCCATGAAAAAAACATTGAAATAAAATTAAACTAATAGTAACTTGGTACTATTACTATAAGTTTAATTTTATTTCAATGTTTTTTTCATGGATAACTTTTTGTTGTTATTATTGTGCATTTTTCTACTTTAAATTTTTCAATAAAATTTAGTATAGGGTCGTTTTGAGGGGCGGTGAATCCAGTGCCGTGCTTAGATTTTGTTTAAAAAAATCGCTAATATGAAATCTTAAAAATTTACTCTTAAAAACTGACATAGTAGGCCTTGTATTTTTTTTCCAAAAATACAATTTATCAAGATCTACACTTTAAAACAAATCCGGTTAAAATCGCACAATAAATAAAGGCTATTTAATTGAGCAAAATTATGGTTATTTTTGGTACCCTGAAAAAGTTGTTGGCCAACCTCTGACAAAATTGCTGTTGACCAGTGTAATTGAAGAAAAAAAATAGCTGACAGCAATATTTTTGTTATACGAAATTTAAGCATTGATCTTGAGCTTTAAGAAAATCCAGCTTTAAATTCTTATCAAATTTTGTTAAAAATTATATAATGACTAGAAAGTTTGTATGTGTAACCTACAGTATTAAGCACAAAATACAGGTTAGTTGTATTGCAATATTTGTGTCACCTTAGAACCGTGGCACAAGCGGAAACGGATTTCTGGTCAGTAGCCCAGATGAATACATCGCGTAGTGGCATGGTATGGTATGCGTACCACCACCGTTCACCCATGGAACGGCATTGGCAATGCTTTAGCGGGTATTCGGAAATGAGGAAGGTGCCGGGATAAAATTTACTAGGAAGTAATTGAACGCTTGAAGGATCCATGGGAAGTATCCTTACCTGTTCGATGGTACAATTAAAATCACAGGCGTAGTCGTAATGGGTAGTTTCCGTTGATTTCTGAAAAAAAATATGATTTTATGAATATAGCAGTCATTTTTTTACGTCAAATTATTTTATTTGTTTTTTATATTAAGGTAATGTACTATAACATATTATGCACTTGCATTCAGTAGTGTATTTAAAAACATATTTAATTTAATAACATAAAAAGTATTAATCATCTAATAATTTCCGCTGTAATTATTTTTGTTATTTATTATAACCTACCCAATGAAAATGTTAGTACCCAATTTAGAATTATTATGAAACTTTTGTTTTAAATATACAAGGTGTCCCTAAACTTATTGGCATAAATTTAGGAAAAGATTGAGTACCTAAGTAATAATAAGACGAAAACCTAAATAAATATTTTTTCTAATTACTAAGGTTTCCAATATACAGGGTGATAAAGTGTTACTTATCATATCAGTTTTTTTAATATAACTTCTACTTATGGAAATCGTGCAAAGGTAATATTTTGCGAACAGTCACTTACTACCAAAACACATATTCACACACAATTATAATTTTTCGAGTGAACACTATGTCGTAGAAATGGGGGTTGCTTTAAGCTTATTGTCCCATAGAAACTTTGAGGTTAGGTTTTTATAACATTTGATGCAACTTTTCGATTACACAGTTCGGCTACCATTTAAAAAGTGTGTCTCTTAAACTTCGATATAATAAACCGTTTCCGAGATATTCGAGATTACAATAATTGTTATATCGCATTAAAGGACTAAAAGTCATTTTTTTTAATGTGACGGTCAGGGCAAAAAGTCCCGTGGCTCATGGAATGCCCTTTTTAGTTTTTTGAACTAAAATATAAAATTTGTTATCATATACCTTTCAATCCTTTTAAATAATGCGATAAAACAATTATTGTAATCTCAAATATCTCGGAAACGGTTTATTTTATCGAAGTTTGAGAGGTACACCTTTGTTAAAGGTAGCCGAACTGAGTAATCTAAAAATTGCATCAAATGGTATAAAAACCCAACCTCAAAGTTTGTATGGTACAATAAGCTTAAGCAACCCCCATTTCTACGACACTGTTCTTACTCAAACAAATATTATTATGTGTGAATATGTGTTTTGGTAGTAAGTAAAAATATCACCTTTCCAAGACTACCATAGAAGAGGTTATTTAAAAAAAACTGATATGAAAAGTAACACTTTATCACCCTGTATCTTGAAAACATAAGTAATTAGGAAAAATATTTATTTGGGTTTGCGTCTTATTTTGACTTGCTCAATTTTTTCCTAAATTTATGCTAATAAGTTTAGGGACACCTTGTATAATAGTTTTTATATGTTTAAAGTTTAAAATAAAATATTTTAAGTGTTTAAACTTAAAACCCTTAAAATAATTTATTTTTTAATTTTGAGAAAAAAATTGGAATTTTTATGCCTTTTTTCCTAAATTTATGCCAATAAGGTTAGGGACACCTTGTATAATAGTTTTTATATGTTTAAAGTTTAAAATAAAATATTTTATCTACTCCTACATTGACGAGCCGTGACTTTATGACGGGCTGAAGTTAACAACAGTGGCTTTTCGTTAGCTCTATTATAAATTGGGAAAAAGTGAGGTTAAATTCGGGTGACAGTTGACAGATGTCAAAATTTTAACAAATAAAATTGGCTTTAAATTCTGTTTTGTGTTCGTCGTAGATAAAGTATAGTATGCAACTCGTTTATAAACTTCTCTAGACACTCGTTTTTATTAAACACTCGCTCGCAAGCTTCGCTCGTGCTTAATTAAACTCGTAACTAAAATGGCGTTTATAAAACTTGATACATAATATACTATTGAGTGTTTAAACTTAAAACCCTTAAAATAATTTATTTTTTAATTATGAGAAAAAAATTGTAATTTTTATGTCTTTTTTATGTACTGTATCTATATTATTTACACTCACCGGCAAAAAAACCGTCCGCCAGAAATTATCAAAAAATTTAATGTTGATTTTCTAGCGAACCGAGATTTTTTAGAAATGTAGGTTGAGGCAGACATTTTATTATAGCATATAAACAACATGTGGTTTTTGAGGGGCTGATAACAAATTTGATATCCATTTCTTAAAAAAATAAAATGGCTGATCCAATATAACGAAAATTTGTCGTTCGGCTTTAATGGTTTGGGTAAAATTTAGTATTGAGATATTTATGGGGTTTCTGATTAAGAATTTGATATCCATTAAAAAAAACAAAATTGCGGATTCAAAATAACGGACATCAAATGCTCGACATTTTCGGCACACATTTTTTTTGTTTCCAGTTTAAATTTCTATAGAAAAAAATATTAACGAACTCGTATTTCATTCCAAATAATTTTTGTATTCATACATAGCTACTTTTACCTCGCTGCACGAGACGAGAGAAGGACTTTTCTCGCCTCATCTCGTCTCGCGGCATCACTAAAAATCTGAATAAAATTGTTTACCATAGCACCGTAACTGTAGAGTCAACCTACAATTAAAAAAAAATCATCAAAATTAGATGAGAGGTTCCCGAGGAAATCAACATTAAAATTGTTGCTAATTTCTGGTGGCCAGTTTTTTTGTCGGCGAGTGTATTTTAAAATTACTATTGCAAACAAGCACGGATTGAAGACGCCGCCCTAGGCCAGCTCCGAACCCATGAGAAACATTATTTTTCGTACACGAAAATTAAAACTAGTCTTTTTGAAATATTATTTAGTTTTGAAATACTTAAGTTTTAAAAAAATGGTATTATTTGTTGTTCTTTTACTACTAAAAGAAAATTAGAGAATACAAATGAAATATTGGGGCAAAATGAAACAAATTTAAAAAAAAAATATTTTATTTTTAATATTTTAAAATAACTCTTTATTTTAAGGTTGTAAGTTAATTTTTATAATAAATAGTGAGTAACTTTTTGGGATGTCGTGGGTGTGGATGAAGGGGTTTGCAAAATTGTAGGATCAGAATAGTACAAAAGTTCGTTAATGCAAGGGGTGGGGGTGGATGCCACCCTATATGATTTTCTTTGCCAAGTCCAATGCGAGTGAGTGCAGATTTGTGCAAATTAAAAAAAAAATACTTAATCTTGCACAATTCTGCACATTTCTTCTTAAAAATAGAAGGGTTTGTAGGGTTGGGGGGACAAACTTGACTGACCCCGCTTTTCCCTCTAGACTACTCAATAAAATAATTTTTGTTAAATCATGTGTTTTAATTAGTTAATAAATGTCCACGCGTGAAGAGATGGTCCATCAATTAAAAAAACTAATTAATCTAAGGAGAGTAACTTGGTGGTTCATTTCACTAATTTATAATAGTTAATAATTAAGTAAGGGTCACTATCCATGGGAAATTTCATAATTACTTTTTAAATAAAGGTGAATCAAATGACATACGGGTCCAATGAACAAGCATATTTTATTTTCCTTTTCAAAGAATTCTTGTTTTACACATAATATGTATGGCACGCCGTTTTACTTTTTAATGTCATGTTTATTAAAGCTAAATATCAATTCAAGTTGCTTTTTAAAAAATTGACTGAAAGTAAAATTTTTATGTCTTGGTATAGGGCTGTGCAATTTAGCCGGTTAAGCCGGCTAAAAAAGTTAGCTAAGTTAATTAGCTAGCTAACTGATCAGCTTAGCTAATTTAACCGGTTAACTAAATTAGCTTAGCTAATTATCTGGCGGCTTAACCGGTTAATCAAGCTTAGCTCAGCTAATTATATATTATATTCATACAATAAAAACTGAGGCTTAAAAATATAGATTACACCAAAATGATTTAAATATATGTATATTAGGGTGAGCCAAAAAAACTAACCTATCGGATTTATGGGTTAAAATGAACCTACATACCGAGCAAAAAATTTCCCTGCAAGGCAAAATTTTTTGCTCAATTTTAAAAGGTGTCGGTGATCACGTGAGCATTCTAAGTTTTCCATTGAAATAACACGTAAAAAAATCTTTTTTTAAAAAGACCAAAACTTTTGAACCGTTTGAGATAAAATTTTTTACGTCGCGGATTCTTGTAGAGCATAAAATTTCCCAAAGAATCTATACCAGGATTATTTTTTTTAATTCAAAAATTCGTATGTTTGAAAGCTTTGAAAAGTGTAAAAAATCACTAAAACTGCAGATTGTTTTACGTGTTATTTCAATGGAAAACTTAGAATGCTCACCGACACCTTTTAAAATTGAGCAAAAAATTTTGCCTTGCAGGGAAATTTTTTGCTCGGTATGTAGGTTCATTTTAACCCATAAATCCGATAGGTTAGTTTTTTTGGCTCACCCTAATGTATATGGAAACTTATCTGATAAACCAAAAAATAAATTGGTAGGTTTTAATTATAATTAAATTTATTTTAGTATTTTTTATGAACGTTTAATTTTTCTAGGCAATTTTTAATTTCGGTAATTTTTGTTTTGAGTTAATCTTTTTATGTCGTTAAAAAGTAAAACGGCGTGCTATATAATATGCAATACGTTTTAGAACAAAACTTTTAAACCAAAATAACTTTTCTTTGAAGTTTACAGTTTCGTCACGCTCGCTTTTTACGAAGGGTTACATTGTGTATAACTAAAAATAACACACATCTACTTGAACCGTTTAAACATTCAAACTAATAGATACAAATCTATTAGTTGTAAACATCTTGTTAACAAAGTGCTTCTGTTTAGTAGTTAAAGAGCCCTCGGGGTCTGGATTACCTCATTTTATCTATAGTATGCATTATTTGTTTACAATCACATTCGCTACTGTGGCGTCTGGTTAACTGTTTTTACTTTCAAGTGCTTGTGATGTTAATGTTTTACTTATCGCAGACGTATCGGTTCCCTGAAATTTTACTTGAAAATATTTTAGATAACGTAGTCGAGCCATTTTTCAATATTTTTTAAAGAATAAGTCAACATAATACCAAATGAAGCAAAATTACTTTTTCAAGATTTAATTTTTCGTCATTTCGATAACGCGTTTGAACTATCAATTTTAAGGTTTATAGCCGCATGCTGTCGCGGAATAAATTGTAGG